GGGCTGCAGTCAAGTGGTGGCCACTGGGAGATGACCTGCCAGGTACAGGTGGCCAAAGCTCACCATCCATAAGAAGTAGAAAGACTCGGGGTTTCAGCTCAGTCACAGCTGCACATGCATAGGACATGCCATCACAGGGGCATTGACTATTTATCCACAATTGAAAACTTCATTTGCATAAAACCCAGATGAGTTTTGGCCACAGCCGAAAATAACTATCTGACAAGTGAGTTTACCTCACCTGTCAGTCTATGTAGAGCACAGCACCCACATCTCAACTGAGGCCGTCACAACCTGTGGTCACCAATGGTAACCACTCCTGGATATTAAAGTGCATCATTTCCCCTTCCTTTAGCTCAGAGAAGTCTTCACTATAGAAAAGATGTGGCCGAGCACCTAACTGTGCCCCCAAATGCATCCTGGGGTTCTGTGAGCATGCTTATTAGTAAGCTTAGGGGGCTAGTGGGAAGAAAGGAGAATAGAACAGAACCACAGAGAAGAAAGTTGGGTCCGATTGTTTAGAATGGCTGCTTCCTTTGCAGTTCCATGAACCCTAACTCCGATTTGGATCCTGCCTTTGGATTCGGGAGCTCTCTGGAGCCCTACATCACCTCCTCCCCCATCACTTTTCATGGAGAGACTAAATTATAAGAGCCAACAAGGCTCTTGATTTCAGTGCTAACACTTCCTTGGCACCATGAGATCACTGGGCAGGAAGCATTTACCCTGTAATGCCAAGAGCCGCTGTCACCATGGGGATGTACCTTGTAAAGTAATGATCCAAAGAAATTAGCACAGCAATTCTGACCAAAATGTAAGGATTAAGAGGCCCCTCTTGCCCTGGCCGGTTTGGCTAAGCGGTTAGAGCGTTGGCCTGCGGTCTGGAGAGACCCGGGTTCGGTTCCCGCTAAGGGCACGTACCTCGGTTGCAGTTTGTCCCCGGCCCTGGTTGGGTCGTGTGGGTGGCGACCACTCGATGTGTCCCTTTCACATCAATGTTTCTCTCTCTCTCTCTCTCTCCCCCTCCCACTCTATCTGAACAATATATCAAAAAATATCCTCGGGTGAGGATAAAAATAAAAAAAAAAGAGGCCCCTCTTTTTCAAATCATGCAGCAAATGCCATCCCCATACAGAATATTTGGGAACTTGGTTTAAAGGTGAAAGAGAATTATAGAATCATGCATCCATTTCCAATAACAACTAAAACAAGCTGGGGCCCTGGCCAGTTTGCCTCAGTGGTGAGAACCGTCGGTTGGCAGACTAGAGAGTCCCAGGTTCAGTTCCTGCTAAGGGCACATACCTCAGTTGCGGTTTGTCCCCGGCCCCGGTTGGGGTCATGTGGGTGGCAACCACTCAATGTGTCTCCCTCACATCGATGTTTGTCTCTCTTTCTCTTCCCCCTTCTTTCCCTCCTGCTCTATCTGATGATAAATGCAAAACTGTCCTTGGGTGAGGATAAAAATAAAGAAATAAACAAACAAATAAATAAAAACTGGAGTATTTTGAGATCCAGGTGAATCTCTGATCACAATGCTCACACCACAGAACTGTAATACAAGGACATCCAGATGTCCTGTCTCTCTGTCTCCATAGCTTCAGTCTGCTCCCTCTCTCCAAGTCTGGGATTACTAAGTACTTAGATGCATGTCCTCTTGGGTCCTATATTGGGATGTTGGACACGAGGAACCAGCTGATGGGAAGAAACTGGCTTGGTACTGGGGGTTCCAGAGTATAAGGCTGGAGTAGAGGTCCTAGCCTCTGGACTGGCCTTGGGGCTAGCACAGGGTCTTGCACTCAGGACCACAGCTCTTGCAAGCAAGCTGCCCTATCCATAGTGTGTCACATAAGTGAAGGCAGCAATGAACCAAATGGATTCCATCTTGTTCAATTCACTTGCCTGCCTGTATCGAGTCCTTCCCCCCTACCCCCCCACTTCAAGAGTTCTGGAATGCCCTGGAATGGTGGAAATGGGACACTTCCATGTCAGTTGTCTCTTAGACATGGGACTGTTGCTTGACATAAGGTGGCTGAAGAACATGGTTGGATCTCTCCTACAGGAGGCACAAACTGCATGAGCAACAACATTATTCTCAAAGCTGTGCTTAGAGTGTGGTTGTTGAAGCTGATAATAGGCACCAGCAGCTACTTCTGCAGCCAGGGTGCCCTTTCCCATCCTCACCAGTTGTTTGAAGGAAGATAGCCATCCCAAACTAAACTCAGAGAGAGAGAGCTTTTCACCCTAACCCACTGGTTCTCAACTAGGGGCAGTTTTGTCCTTCAGAGGACTTTTGGTACTGTCTTGAGACATTTTTGGTTGTCACAAGTGAAGGTGGGTGCTACTGGCATCTAGTGAGTAGAGATGAGGGATGCTGCTAAACATCCTACTATGGGTCTGGTTGGCATGGCTCAGTGGTTGGGCATTGACCCATGCACCAAGAGGTTGCCGGTTTGATTCTTGGCCAGGGCACATGCCCAGGTTGTGGGCCAAATCCCCAGTGGGGGCATGCAGGATGCGACCAATCAATGTTCTCTCTCATCGATGTTTCTCTCTTTCTCCCTCTCCCTTCCTTTCTCTCTGAAATCAATAAGAAAAACATTTTTTTTTATCCTCACCCGAGGACATTTTTTTGATATTTTGTTCAGTTAGAGTGGGAGGGAGGGAGAGAGAGAGAAACATCGACGTGAAAGGGACACATCGAGTGGTTGCCACCCACACGACCCAACCAGGGCCGGGGACAAACTGCAATGGAGGTACGCGCCCTTAGTGGGAACCGAACCTTGGTCTCTCTGGACCTCAGGCTGACCACTGGACCTTTGCCTCCAACCACTGAGCCAAATTGGCCATGGCAGGGAAAAATTTTAATCCTATTATGGCCCTGGCCAGTTTGGCTCAGTTGTTAGAGCATCAACCCACAGACCAAAGAGTCGCAGGTTCGATTCCACTCAAGGACACATGCCTCAGTTGCAATTTGGTCCCCAGCCCTGGTCAGGGTCGTGTGGGAGGCAGCCAATCAATGTGTCTCTCTCATGTCGATGTTTCTCTCTCTCTCTCCTCCTACTCCATCTGAAGATAAATGGAAAAATGTCCTCAGGTGAGGGTTTTAAAAAAAAAAATACTACTATGCACAGGACAGTGCTCCACAACAAATAATTATCTAGCCCCAAATCTTAGCATCAGTCCTTTTGGCGCGCGCGCGCGCACACACACACACACACACAACTTCCCAAGGCTCAAGCTTGTTGGGGAGGCCTGGAGAGGACCAGTTCCAGTGTTTGCCACCTCAGAGAATCCTGATCACTCTTCTTCCTTCCCCAATGGCCCTGTGTCTCTTCAGCCTGTCTAGGTTTATTTCACAGGCCCATTGCCCTCAGACTGAAGTCACTGAGAGTAAGGTCTGCTGCCTTCTGAGCGATGAGTGGGTGCACTGTAAATATTGGATGCAGTAAAAATTGGGATCAAATAATAGGCAGGATTCTAAGGGGGATCAAGAGGGCTCTTGTTACTCATGAGATCACAAGAGTTTGTTTTGTATATATGCTATAAGGACTGGATACCTCCAATGAGGGCATAAGAATGAATGTAGGTGAGTGAACCACTAAGCCTTGCCTCTCATTTCCTCAAACATTTCACATATTCATCACATCAACGGGTCTTCCCATTTTCTTGGATCAGTAATATCCCTGTGTTTTCTGCTCTCATCCCTTGTGCAGGTTTGTCCTCACCTGAACTCTCTGATGGGCTGGAATGTTTTCTTTAGATTTTAGTATTTTGAGGGGGCATTTTTACATGAAACTGTTGGAAAGGGGATATCCACCTCCCCCCCCCCCCCCATTACCCTTCTTGAGTTCTTACAACTAGACTAATAGTAAAATTAACATAAGGCCAGATTAACAGGAGAAAACACAATTGAAAATGTGGGCACAGGAGCTCATAGATGGTCAGAGAAATGATAGGCAAGCTTTTTTTTTTTTTATCCTCACCAGAGGACATTTCTCCATTTTTGTTCAGATGGACTGGCAGGGGACATCGACGTGAAAGGGACACATAGTCGCTGCCTCCCGCTCCAGCCAACCAGGGCCGGGGACAAATCCCAACTGAGGTACGTGCCTTTGACCGGTGTCAAACCCGAGACTCATAGGTCCACCGGCTAACGCTCTAACCGCTGAGCCAAACTGGCAGGGCGACCAGCTATCTTTTTATACAAACAATAAATTTGTGAAGCATCAACAGAACAGGTTTGGATGCTCAATGGTGAGGAATCTAATCTATACAAAGTTTGGGATTGGGTAGTAAATTAGTAACAAGGTTTTTACCTTAAGCGCCCTCCCCCGCCCCCTTCCCTAACTCTAGAGATAAGAGTGTCTTCTCCTTTAGCAGCAAGAAGGGCACCTTCACATGGGAGACCGATCTCCTGCTTGGGGCGGGGGGTGGGGGTGGGGTGCACAGAGAAGTCAGAGTGTTCTTGCATAGACAGTTTCTTAAGTAACTTTAATTCAAAATAAGGTTGAATTTTTTACATTGATGACTCCTTCCAAAGTTTACTACAGCTCGGCTCGGTATCCGTGTCGCTCAGTCGCTGGGCGTTGTACTCCGCCCTTGCCTGCCCCTCCGGGGACCGTGTGCGGAGCGGAGCTAGTCCACACCACTTCCCCCACGTCCATCTCGCGTCCGCCTGGGCCAGGGGCTCCTGAGCATGCGCCCTGAGGTGGAGGTGAGCGGCGTCCCGACACGTCCGGCCAGCAGGGGGCGCTGTTCGGCGGCGAGAGGAGGCGTGAGATCCGACTGCCCGTCTGCGTTAAGTCCTTCGCCCTCGCGGCGCGACAGGGGCCTGGAGCCAGTAAACCACCGAGAGGCGGAGACCTCCCAATTTTCCTAGAGAAAACAGGTGGGAATGGGGCGGGGAGGGAGGTGGGCATGGGGGCGGGGGGGGAGGAGAAAAAAAAAAAAAAAAGACTGACCCGGAAGCGAAACGGAGGGAGCTTCCGTTCTTTGTTCTGTCCCCGGTGTGTGGGTCCGTGACAGTGTCCAACGGGGCCTAGTCCGTGTCCGGCCCCCCCAAGTCTTCCCTCCCTGCCCCCAGGGTGAGTCCGGCCGCCCTCGGGACTCGCGGTGAGACGGGGGCTGTGGTCACCGGGGAAGGGGGTTGTGTCCGTGCCGCTGCGGCCCGTGGCGTCCCCAGGCCCGCCCGGAGCAGGGTGCCGAAGGCGCCGCTCCCTCATCCGTAGCGGGTCCCCGGCTCCTTTTTCCCAGGGACGCCCCTCCCCTAAGCTCTACCCTGCGTGGGAGGCAGGAAAGGGACTCCGGTTCAGATATTTGTGATTTAGCGCCCAGCTCGAGCACTTAAAAGTTCCACTATGGCTGTAGAAGGGCCCTCTCTTTAAAACAGCGCCGCTAATTTGGTAGTTCCCCAAGACGCTTTTAGTTGAGGATCACACAGTTTTTCGCGCCCGCAGCAGAACAGGTCTGTTTTACTTTCCTGGGTGTTAGGATCAGAGAATGAGTTCTTCGAAGTGTGGTAGTTAGAAAACTAGGTCAGATTACAGGAATAATCCGCAGGCGCCCTGTGAGTCGAGTCTTTTATGAGGAGTGGTACAACTGCATTTAACTCCCATTTGCAACTGTTTTAGGTCCCAGATTTGATCCGCTTTTGACATATTAGTAAGTGAGCTGACAATGTTAGGAACTTGAGAAGGCGTTTCTTACACTGAGTGGGAGGTTGACCTGGAGAACTTCGAGTTCCCTTTCAGCTTCTAAAGGAGTGCAACACAAATATCAGTTGTGGTCTTAATTGGTATTTTCTTTAGCATGGGTCTCTTGTTTTCCCCCTTATCTATAAATAACTAGATTAGAAGTGAAGTTTATGTGAGTGTTTTAAATTCTTTTTTTTTTTCCTTAATCATACATCGTTGGCATCAATTAAAGTCAGAATTCCCGGGAACTTGAACTGAGGCTTCCAATAATTGCTGCTCTGGCCTTCTAGAGATAACTCCAAAGAAGGTAGGAAAGAATCCAGCAGGTAAAGCTTTCCATGATTCATTTTCACCACCAGGTCATCTTTCTCAGTCCCCAGAAGCAGCTCCAGGGAGAGGGGTTGGCAGTGGAGCAGGGGAAGGGCCTGCCTGCACCTGAAGCTGTGGGAGCACAATGGAGATTTTTCTTTCTATGAGAAACATTGTTTACTGATCCAGACACTGGGGACTTGTTCTCAACAATATGCCTTTGAGTTCCAGCTTTGGTTAACCCGTCTGTGAGGAGAGAGCATTGCTTTTTTTCTTTGGAGTCCAGAGCCTCTGATTTTCCTTTCTATGGAAAGTTTGGACTGAGAGCTGATTTGTTGGGGATGTCTGCTTATAAACAGTCCTGGAAATTGTAAAGTTGATTGATAGGAACAAAGAGATAGCTGGGTCTGAGATATAGTTTAAAGGGACCCAGCTGGGAGAGTGTTAGTGGCAAGAGGGTATGTTACCCACTTCGAGCTTGTGGGCCTGGCTCATGCCTGATTCAGTGCTTTTCACTGTAATGGTAGTGGTGGTGGACATTTTATACCGCTTTTTTTTTCTTTCTTGATTTTAGAAACATCGGTGAGAGAAAACATTGATTGGCTGCCTCCTTCATGCCCCCCCCACTGGGGATTTGGCCCACAACCTGGGCATGTGCCCTGACCTGGAATTGAGCCGATGACCTCTTGGTGTGTGGGTCGACGTTCAACCACTGAGACAAACTGGATGGGCACTGCTTTTTTTACCCAAAGATAAGAGTTCTCTGAACTCTCAGTGGCTCTCAGACAGTCTCTCCCCTTTTTATGCCTTATGTGAATGCAACAGACTGTGATGAAGCAATTACGTTTGCATTCCTGGTTTTTTACTCCTTTCAATAGTGCTTTGCAATATAGTTGGCACTCAACAGATGTTTGTTATATGAGCAAATGAACAGATAAAGACGGGCATAGACAAAATCCAGGGTGGTTTTTTTTTTTCTTTGCTCTTGCCTAAGTATAAGGATGCTTTGGTGGCTCCTGCATCTATTCTGGATCTGTTTGGTTTTTTAAATTTCTATTGATTGATTTCAGAGAGAGAGGAAGAAGGAAAGAGTGAGAGAGAAACATCAATTTGTTCCACTTATTTATGCATTCATTGGTTGCTTTTTGTTTTTTGTTTTTTTTTTAATCCTCACCCGAGGACATTTTTCCATTTTTTGTTCAGGTAGAGTGGGAGGGAGAGAGAGAGAAACATCAATGTGAAAGGGACACATCGAGTGGCTGCCACCGCACAACCAACCAGGGCCGGGGACAAACTGCAACCGAGGTACATGCCCTTAGCGGGGACCGAACCCGGGTCTCTCAGGACCGCAGGCCGACGCTCTAACCGCTGAGCCAAACCGGCCAGGGCCATTGGTTGCTTTTTGTATGTGCCCTGACCGTGGATCAAACACAAAATATTAGCATATTGGGATGACACTCTAACCAACTAAGGTACGCAGTCAGGGCCTAGATCTGCTGATTCTTGAAATGAAAACTTTTACTTGAGATCCAAACCTTAGTCTAAGTATTGTTACATTTTATTGACTAGAACCACAGAAAACAGATCTCTTTTGATTGTTGTAGCATCTGGGGAATAGGGACATTAATAGGGTTAGAAACAGTAATCAGTACTCTCGTAGTTTTTTTTGTTTGTTTGTTTTTTTGTTTGTTTGTTTGTTTGGTGTTTTTAATCCTCACCCGAGGACATTTTTGCATCTGTTTTCAGATAGTGCGGGAGGGAGAGAGGGAGTAAGAGAGAGAGAGAGAAACATCAATGTGAGAGAGATACCGACCGGTTGGTTGCCACCCACACAACCCCAACTGGGGCTGGGTACAAACCGCAATCGAGGTACATGCCCCTAGTGGGAACTGAACCTGGGACTCTCTGGTCTGCAAGCCAATACTCTTAACCGGTGAACCAAACCGGCCAGGGCATTAATCTCATGTTTTTAAAAAAGTATTGGTCCCTGCTTCAGGGACTTATATTCTGACCCAAGGAAATGTATTAGGAAAGAAGGGAGATTAAAAAGAAAGTTGGCTGCTACCTTCTCAGTGAGAGGAAAGCAACTGGGACTAGCCTTTTAGATTCAGGTGAATATATACACCTAGTCCCTGTGATGAAACTCAGGTGGACAACAAAAAGGGCCCAAGTTCCTCAACAATGTTACACCTTTGACTGGGACTGAAAGCTGAAAACAATTTTAGAAAGGAATGGGTGGGCCTGGCCAGTGTGGCTTAGTGGTTGAGCATGGACCCATGCACCAAGATGTCATTGGTTTGATTCCCAGTCAGAGCACATGCCCAGGTTGTGGGTCAAATTACCAGTGTAGAGCATGCAGGAGGTGGCCAATGTTCTCTCTCATCGATGTTTCTCTCTCTCTCCCTCTCCCTTTCTCTCTCTCTAAAATCAATAAAGAAAAAAGAAAGAAAGAAAAGAGAGGAATGGGAGGAATAATTCATATTAATTATTTAATTTAATAGAACTGTTTGCCCTAGTTCTGTGAGATAGATGTTGTTCCCCCAGGTTTTTAAAAATGAGAGACAGGCCCTGGCCAGTTTGGTTCACCGGTTAGAGCATCGGCCCGTGGACCACAGAGGCCCAGGTTCAGTTCCCACTAAGGGCACGTACCTCAGTTGCAGTTTGTCCCTGGCCCCAGTTGGGGTTGTGTGGGCGGCAACCACTCAACGTATCTCTCATGTCGATGTTTCTCTCTCTGTCTTCTTCTCTCTCTCCCTCCCGTTCTGTCTGGAGATAAATGCAAAAATGTCCTCAGGTGAGGATAAAAAAAAAAAGAAATGAGAGACAGAGAACTCATTAAATTTCTCTGATCTCTGGTTTTGGGTGCTATTTCATGGTCCTTTTTCCTCTAAGGATAACACCTAAATTTAATATAACAGCTAGAAACCTAATTAAGTTTTTTTTCTCCTACTAATTACTATGTTTATGAAGGTATTTTTTCTTCTCTATAAACAAATAGCTTTCTGCATTATCCCAAATAGTCTTAAAATGTGCTTGATGCATACACATTTTGCAGTGTATATGCGCACTCTCTTTTTTTCACTTTATTTTGATATTTCTCTTTCTTTCTGTTTTTTTTTATCCTCATCCAAGGATATTTTTCGATTTGTCTTCAGATAGAGTAGGAGGGAGGGAAAGAGAGGGAGAGAGAGAAACATCGATATGAGAGGGACACATTGACTGGTTGCCTCCCACATGACCCCTACCAGGGCCTGAGACAAACTACAATCAAGGTATGTGCCCTTGACCTGAATCGAACCCACGACTTTTTGGTTCGCAGGCTGATGCTCTAACTGCTGAGCCAAACCAGTCAGTGCAGATATTTTTCATTTTGGTAGTTGTTTAGTATTTCATTCTTTTAACGTCATTGTTTGGCACTGGTATTTTCCACTTTTTGTTGTTATAAATATTCCTCATTGTGTGTAGGGAGCCAAAGGTGGGATATTATCAAAGAACTTGGGCCCTTTTGGTGATTCTCATGTAATCTCATTACAGGGAGTGGGAATATTTTCACCACGGTCTTGAAGACTAGCCCCAGTTACTGCATTTCCTCTTGTAGTTCCTAGGTACTAACTAAAATGCTAGTTCCCCTCTCTGTATTCAGGAGGTGGGTTTTTTGTGTTTTGTTTTTTAATTTTTGAACCTTGAACTTTTGCTTCTGAAGTGCTTCCTCATTCTTATCAAAACCTGCTTCCTGCCAAGTCTACAAATAGAAGACCAGAGACAGGAGCTTTTGGCCTTACCCATGGAAACTCAGGCTGATTGTGCATCTCAGGAACCTCAGGTCCTGCTTGAGAGTGGTAAGGAATAGGGGATTCATTTATCTTATTCAGTTATTCAGCAGCCATCTATTAAAATCTCAAGCACTAGCAAAACCGCTAGAATCCAGGACATCGTTAAGACATAGTTCTTACCATTCAATAACTCACAGCCAAGTGGAGATTAATGTATAGCTTGATAGGTTTTATAGCTCGGGCATTTTTAAGGGATGTGGGTTCCTTGTGCAGAATTAAGAAAACTGTGACAGTCACCAAATTCCATTTTCCAAGGGCTTTGACGCAGCCAGCTTCATAGTCCTGGTTTGTGCCCTTTAGGACAATGTGCTTAGAAGAGGCTCTTGGAAATTGTTTTGTTGGTCATAAGCAAAAGAATAAAATGGATAGGAAGCCACAAAAGTATTTGTGTTTTGCTTTTATAGACTGCTTTTATGACTTTGGAGCCAGTTTCATTCCTAGTGGGTCTTATTCCCTTGCTTGTGAGAAAAAGTATTCAAGGACCTTTTTGTTTTGGTGATTCTGCAGAATTTAGTTTCTGGGGATTTCAAGTCTCTATGGGATAATAATGTTGACCTTAAAATTACAGAAAAAGATAGGTGATCAAGTACAGAAACAGGAAATGTAGTGTTTTGACATTTATAACTTTGACTTGGGGATGGAGAACAGCTATGAGCGTTATGTCTTCAGTTAAGGATGGGGTGAAGCTCCTAGTTTTCCTCTGGTCTAAGAACTTCATGCAGTAGTTTGAGTTGAGATGTGGAGAATGATGGAAGGGATATGAGCAGGACAGCCTGTTTCTGGCCAAGCTTGGGAGAATGGACAAGAACACACTCATTACTATAGGACTGGGCAAATTTCATTGAAAGTAGAGTGACTAGAGAGAAAGGACATGGCTGGGTAAAGAGCAAGAATCAACAGGGCTTTAGACATCTCTCTTTAGGAAAGACCCACACTAAATGTGCCTAATATAAGTACCCTTAGTAGCTGCAGAGGAAGTGAACTTAGTAATGTCAGAGGAGTGGGTCCCAGGTTGTCCCAGGAACCTATAAGTTTTCTGTAGGTTGGGAGGTCAGATAGCAGTAGATAGACTCACTCATAGACCATTTTATTGTCCTCAGCTCTTCCTTCCCCAAAAGTTTCTGCATTTTCTAACAAGGACAGTCTGGGGGATGAGGTGTTGGCAGCTGCACTCCTGAAGGCCAAGTCCCAGGTAAGCTGTGGTTCCTCTTAATCTTCTTTTTCTTTCCCATTTTGTAGACATTTTGGGTGTAGTAACATCCCATTTTCAGTGTCCCAATCACAATTCACTCCATCGGGACTGTGGTCCTTTCCTGCTGAGTAATGGACCTTTCTTTCTTGGACTTTTTATCTCTCTCCACCCTAATCTCCTTTCCCCAACTTCCCAAAAATGTATTATTCAACCCTATCCCAAATTATTTTTTTGTTTCTGCCAATCCCACCCCCACTCTGAAATTGCATGCAGGAACATGTTGTTTCAGGAGTTGGTGACGTTTGAGGATGTAGCTGTGTACTTTATCCGGAAGGAGTGGAAGCGTTTGGAGCCTGCTCAAAGGGATCTCTATAGAGATGTGATGCTGGAGAATTATGGGAATGTGTTCTCCTTGGGTAAGGAATTATGCTTTCTCAATAAAACTTCCTTGGCATTTCTTTGCTTCCTTGTTTGTTAGTAACAGTTGAGTTAGTGATAGTAATTAACTAAGGATTGACTTAGACTCAGAGAATTCTAACAATAACAGTAACTTTCATCCTTACACTACTTTTCAGTTTATAAAGAGGTTTCATATGTACTGTCTCATTTAATCCTCACAGTCACACAGCAATTGAGGTAGCTAGAATTACCCTCATTTCATAGGGGAAGAAAGAGAGGTCAGAGGTCTTAAATGTTTTACACACAGTCCTCTAGCTGGTTAGTGGCAGAACTCGAGCCCTGGTTTTCTAAGTCCAAATATGGTACTTTTTTTCCATGTTATTAGAATTTAACAGCCCTGGCCAGTTTGGCTCAGCGGTTAGAGCGTCAGCCTGCGGTCTGGAGAGACCCGGGTTCGGTTACCGCTAAGGGCACGTACCTCGGTTGCAGTTTGTCCCCGGCCCTGGTTGGTCGTGCGGGTGGCAGCCACTCGATGTGTCCCTTCACATCGATGTTTCTCACTCTCTCTCCCTTCCTCTCTCTCCCTCCCACTCTATCTGTACAAAAAATGGAAAAATATCCTCGGGTGAGGATAGAATTTAACATATAATCCAGAGACTTTTCCAAAAGATTAGCATATTGGGATCCCTGAAAGTGTGAGGTACTATTCTGTGCCCAAGTGAACATTCTGGGATTCTGTCTCCTCCCCTTCTCTGATGGACTATCTCTAGGGACTTGTTGCTTTGTTCATGACCTCGAGCAACCACTGCTTTTGTAGAAATTTTAACCTGTTGTAGGGAACAGGTTAATCTTTAGTCTGTGGACTGTCAATTCATTTTCCCTCACCTACTTGTAGTGAGAACATTTTCCTGAGTAGTGCCAGAGGGTCTTCCTAACTCCCATTTGAGACCTCTCTGACATTTCCTGCCTATCCCCTGCAGATCCTGGGTCTGGGATTGAGCTCTGGGACTGCTTGATATGAGCAGGATAAAACTTTTCTGATGTCTTTTTCCATGAGCAGGATTCTCATTTCTGTATTTTAACATGATCTCTGGGCTGAGGAAGTCGATGGTCCTGGGTTTGAAGGGAATTGAAAACAGAGAGCTTCTGAAAGATACCTGTTCAGATGAGGGGAAAATAGCTATATCTGTCCCTAATACTCAATGCCCTATATTTACCTTTTAAAATATTGACAGACTAAAAATGCTGATATCTAGACCCTTTATACTTGTTCTCTGTACATGAGGTTCCCTTTAGAAACCTCAAGACTGTGAAAATAGGAACATCAAATATAGAAATTATTTACATATCCTCACATCATAGCATAACCTTTTAGGCCTAAGGCCTAGAGATGGACTAACTCTAACTCTGTCTTTTGCCTGTTTCCATGGATTTGACATGTGTAGCACAGCTACAAACGTGTTTTTTTCACCTAGGGATGTATAGGGGTCACTAGTGACCTCAACCTTGGTGTTCCTTCCTTCTCTGCTACTGTTTCTCTTCACCTTCCCCACTTTTCTTTTCTTTCTTTTTTTTTTTTTTTTAAATCCTCACCCGAGGACATTTTACCAGTTTTTGTTCGGGTAGAGTGGGAGGGAGAGAGAGGAACAGAGAGAGAGAGAAACATCGATGTGAAAGGGACACATCGAGTGGCTGCCACCCGCACGACCAACCAGGGCCGGGGACAAACTGCAACCGAGGTACGTGCCCTTAGCGGGAACCGAACCCGGGTCTCTCTGGACCGCAGGCTGACGCTCTAACCGCTGAGCCAAACCGGCCAGGGCACCTTCCCCACTTTTCTTAAACGGTTCTGGTAGTCACCATCTCCAAATTATTTCTACAGTCTTTAACCTCTCCGAGGACTTTGTCACTTTATTAAAAAACCATGTCCTTCCTCTTTTATTTTTGGTTCCCTGCCTCTGCCTGATCCATTCTCCTTACAATCCAACTTTCTCTGTGCTTCCAGCTGTTTTCTTGATTTTGCTTCCTGCTTTTCTCCTTTCCTGTTTCCTCTTCTTTTATTCTGCCTTAGCTACACACAACCTGGGCAGATAAGAGACATGCACATGATTATCCTGTTTCTTCCACAAGGCACAGTGATGTTTGTATTTTGTATTGTGCCAGATGGTGAGACCAGAACTGAGCATGATCAAGAAATTTCTGAAGATACAGGATCACATGGGGTGCTATTGGGAAGATTCCAAAAGGATATTTCTCAGGGTCTTAAGTTTGAAGAAGCCTATGAAAAAGAAATCAGTCTAAAGAGGCAGCTGGAGAATTCTTCTGGAGAAAGACTGCATAGGAAGATACAAGATTTTGGTCAAGTAACAGTTGAGGAAAAGCTAACCCCCATGGGAGAGAGAAGTGAGAAATACAATGATTTTGGGAACAGCTTTACTGTGAGTTCTAACCTTATTTCACATCAGAGACTTCCTGTGGGAGACAGACCCCATAAGTGTGATGAATGTAGCAAGAGCTTTAATCGAACTTCAGACCTTATTCAACATCAGAGAATCCACACTGGGGAAAAGCCCTATGAATGTAGTGAATGTGGGAAGGCTTTCAGCCAGAGCTCACATCTGATTCAGCATCAGAGAATCCACACTGGAGAGAAACCTTATGAATGTAATGATTGTGGGAAGACCTTCAGTTGTAGCTCTGCTCTCATTCTACATCGAAGGATCCACACTGGAGAGAAACCTTATGAATGTAACGAGTGTGGGAAAACCTTTAGCTGGAGCTCCACCCTTACTCATCATCAGAGAATCCACACTGGAGAGAAACCATATGCTTGTAACGAATGTGGGAAGGCCTTCAGTAGGAGCTCCACCCTCATTCATCACCAGAGAATCCACACTGGAGAGAAGCCCTATGAATGTAATGAGTGTGGGAAGGCTTTCAGCCAGAGCTCACACCTCTATCAGCACCAGAGAATCCACACTGGAGAGAAACCCTATGAATGTATGGAATGTGGAGGGAAGTTTACCTATAGTTCAGGCCTTATTCAACATCAAAGAATCCACACAGGGGAGAATCCCTATGAATGTAGTGAGTGTGGGAAAGCCTTTAGGTATAGCTCAGCTCTTGTTCGCCATCAGAGAATTCACACTGGAGAGAAGCCTTTGAACGTAATGGGGATGAGCAAAAGTTCTCTCAGAGTTACTGCTGAATTAAATATCAGAGAGTCTACATGAAAGAGAGACACACACCTGTTTTTCTCACTTCCACTGAGTCTAAAGAGCTCCTCCTGCCATACTATAAAAGTATGAACAGCTTAGGATGTGTCCCTTCTGGTGCAAACCTTTCACTTTAGAGAATGGGGCAAATTTGGCGAATCATCCTGGCACAGTGATAAGCCGCCTAGTCAGTTTCCCCAGGAATGATAATAGCCTTGAAAAATTAGGCAAGCAGCAGATTAAGTGCTGGAAATAGAGGGAAGCTCTGGGACCAGTCACCTTCCACTATGGAAGGGAGTTTGCACTAGACCATACTCCTCACACCAAGGGAGACTTTCTTACCAAGGTGGGGATGGAAGCACAGTAGGAATAAAGTTCTAAAGATTCCTCTAGTTGGGAGTCAGTATAGTCAGCACAGAAGGCAGTGGAAAGGGTTCTGGATCCTGTTACTTGCTAAGAAAGGGAAGGAGGCTATATTTGAAAGCCACTATTCCTAATCCAGCTTTAAATTTTGATAAGGAAACATGGTGCTGGGGGATTTGTTTTTTGATTGGGGGTGAGGAGGGGCAAGAGAGGTTTACATTGGTGGCTATGGCTTTTGGAGCAGCAAGACCAAGTTTCCGAGAACAGTCTGGTAATTTTGTTGGAGAACCCCTAGTCATTCCCTGTTATAATAGGTAGGACTAATTGAGAAATCCATCTAATCATCTGATGAGTCTAATATGAGGAAGTGGATCAAAAGCATTTAGCATTGGCCTGTTTTCTTTATGCTTTTCTCCCATTTCCTCTCACCACTGCTGTGATAAAAAGTGATTTAATCCAAACCCATAATGACTAAGGATGCTTTTAAGGAGCTCACTCAGCCAACTTGCCCTGCCCTCTGTCACCTATGACAGACCTCTCCTGACCCCATCTCAGCTTCAACAGCAGAGTATGAATGCAAACAAAGAGCAAAGCCCAGAGAAGGAAGGCTCTGGCCTGATCCTGGCGTTAGGGCTCCTTGCTGCGTTAAGATGGAGCTCCTGAGTTTTCCCAGCTGAAAGGATGACTTCTCATTATGTTTTCCCAATCTTGCTCATCCTGTAGCATAAATGAAGTGCACTATTAAACAGAATAGCTTTTCAGAAGGAGAGATTGAGTGTGTTTTTGTGTAGGGGCCACGTTTTTTTTTAGTTTAAAAAGGAAACAGTGACTGTAAGTGGAATCTCTAAAAAATCTTAGTTTTTACAGCCAAGCATTTCTCTCTTAGTCGTAAACGTGTGACCTGTTTCCTTCAAGACTCATGTTACATTATTCTAGATACTACCCCAGACTATTCAATCATTTACACAATCTCCCCCTTTATATCCACATGTAGTTTGTTTTTTTTTTCTTTCTTCTGCATATCATTCTGTGTGGTATGATACTTAAAATCAGCAACTACCCTGGCCAGAGTGGCTCAGTTGGTTGTCATCCCGTGCACCAAAGGGGTTGCCAGTTCAATTCCTGGTGAGAATACATACCTGTGTTGCAGGTTTGATTCTCAGTTGGGGAGTACACAGAAGACCACCAAGCTATGTTTCTCACATTGGTCTACCCTGTCCCCCTTCCTATCTCTTCCTCCTTCCAAGCATTCCCTTGGGTGAGGATTAAAAAAAAAAAAGCCCAGCAACTAAAACTAGAAAGGTGTTACAGGGTATGATGGTCCCTGACAAGAGCATGTTTGAATGTTGGGTAGAAATGGGCATATTTAGATTTCTTAGTTTAACTATTGGTGAGAGTATGTTATAGTCATGGAGGAGGCTGAGTTGAAAGTATAATTGAGAAGATGAGAAAATGTCTAGAACTAGCATCTGAAAAATTTTGGATCACATTTTTACCTAATATGTTTTTAATTTTTTAAAATATGTTTTTATTGATTTTAGAGAAATATTGATATAAAAGAAACATTGATCAGCTGCCTCCTGCTTGTCCCCTACTGGGGATCAAGCCCATAACCCAGGCATGTGCTCTGACTGGGAATTGAAATAGCAATCTTTTGGTGCATGGGATGACACTCAGCCAACAGTCACACTGGCCAAAGTGTGTTTTTAATTTAAAGCTATAATGAAACTCATTGTTTTGACTCATCTCTGACATTCATCACATACTTGCAGATTGTTTCTCAAAGTATAGACCATGAAGTATCCACAGTAGGCTGCTTGTTTCTAATGCAGTTTGGGGTAGGTCTGAGTATGGCCACTTAATGTGGAGCTCTGGGAAAGACCCCTAAACCCCTTCAACCCCTTCTCTGCCCAGATGCTGAACCCTTCACATACCTGAGATTGATTGGGACTATTAGATAAAAAATGTTTTTAAAAAATTTTGAAACTGCTTCCATAACATTTTATTCACTGGATTCCCTCGTTATTCCTGTTCCCATCATGATTCTTCTTTACTCAGTTTCTAATTATATATGATCCCCGTTTGTTTTCTTTTCTGCCATTAGCCTTAGAACCTATTTACTTCCAAGGTGTCCACAATTCTATGCAAATAAGTTTTAAGTCTACCTGTGTGGTACCGATCTCTCCCAAGTTCCGGTCTTGGATCTCCAGCAGACTGCAGGGCATTTACACTTGGATTTTTAAGTTTGAAATGAGCCCTGGGCAGTTTGGCTCAGCAGTTGGAGCATTGGCCCTTCAGTCCTTGGGTTCAATTCCCAGTCGAGGGCACGTATCTGGGTTGCAGGTTTGATCCCTGACCCCAAGGGGTTGTGCAGGAAGCAACAAATTGATGTGTCTCACATTGAAGTTTCTCTCCCTCCCACTCTATCTAAAAAATCAATGGCAAAAAATCCTCGGTGAAGATTAACAAAGTTTCCAGTGATGCGTTTCAAACCAGATATGTCTTTCCCATAAACTGCTCCCTCAGAATTTCTGCAAACCTCTCGGAGTCACAACTTCTGAGTTTGTTTTTAATTATTTTTATCCTCCTATATCTAACCATCATCAAGTCGGGCAGGTTCATAAGCATGGAGTAGAAAGATGTCAGGGGAAGGTTTCAAAGTTGAGGTCATGGAAGAAGTGTCATTTCCAAGTAATGGTTAATAATAATAGCTTATACATAGCATATACTCTGGCCCCTTTCCAAGTGTTTAGGATATGCTAAATTATTTAATTGTTACTACAACCTGTGTGTAAAGCAGGAGTTAGTATAACCCCATTTTACAGATGAGGAAACAATTAGACTTGCCCAGTGACAGTGAGATCAGGGGCCAAAGGCTAAATGGCTTGGATGTGAGATGGGGAGGCACCAACCTGTGAAGAGAACCTTATTTAGGCAATGGTCTTGGCCTGTCAATTATGATTCTACAACCTACGTAGTTTGTCCTTTTCATTTCCATTGCTATTAACTCTAGAGTTCTGGTCTTTATTCTCTCCTGGATTATATAGTCTCCTAATAGATTAATATCTTTGTTTTCTCTCATTGCAAATCACTTCTCAAAGCACTACACCCATCTCGTTACTTTATCAAAAAGTTTCAGTGGCTACTCTTCTTATGGAATGAAATTCCAACTCCTTAGTTGTATGTAATCAAGGCTTTTCTTAGTGTTCCTCTTCACGCATCTGAAAACCAAATGTGTGGAAAACCAGAGCTGGTAGAACAAAAAAAAAAACAAAACAAAAAAAACAAATTTTATTCAGAATAATCGCAATAGGGAAGAGACCTAAGTAAGAAATGGGCCCTCTCCTGGCAGAGTGGCTCAGTTGGTTGGCGCATCATCCCATGCACCAGAAGGTTGTGGGTTTGATTTCCCATCAGGGTACATGCCTGGGTTGCAGGTTTGATCCTCTTTTGGGGTGTGTAAGGGAAGCAGTCATTGATGTTGCTCTCTCACATCAATGTTTCTCTCCCCCTCTAAAATCAACAGAATGAAAAGTCTGGGTGAGGATTAAAAAAAGAATGGCCCAATTCTGAATACAGCATGGCCAAGTGGGAATTTATCACCAAGGTACAAGATGGGGAGCTCAGTGGGTGAAAATTTTCTAAAAGGAAATATTCGGGGGTAAGAGGAGTTTAGTCTAAACTGACCTAACAGTATCTTTGCTGAAGACAGGCCAGGGTGATTAGACATTGCTATGGAGTGATGATGGAGGATGGAGGAATCTTGCTAAAGTGACTTAGCAGGGTTCTTGCTAAAACTAGATTTTATAAGGAAGTGCACAGATAGGCGTAGGAGAAGTTTCAGGAGACTGAGTAAGATTTGGTCAAGCGAATCTTTGTCACGTCTAATAGCAAGATGATAATGAGGCCACATATATTCATGCCCATGAGTTTCTTTACTCAACAGTGTACACATCGTGCTCCAGTTCCTCACATCCAATGAATAAAAATCAGAGTCCAAGAGGGCCTGGAAAAACTATTTTCTTTTTTTAATATGATTTTATTGATATTTTGAGAGAGAAAGAGAAATATTGATGTGGGAAACATGGGTCAGCTGCCTCCTGCATGCTCCTTACTGGGGATTGAACCCCCAACCCAGGCATGTGCCCTGACTGGTAATGGAACCAGGACCTCAGTCCATGGGATATGCTCAATCCACTGAGCCACACTGGCCGGGCTGAAAAACTATTTCAGTCTCCCCCTTTGCAAAAACTGTCAACGGTACCCCTGACAGATGACTATCCATTCTTTATTGTAATATCTTCAGGGAAAAGAGGCTCTTTGTTGCACCAGGCAAAAGCAGGCAATTCCACAGTTGAGCATTCTGATTGCTGGAAATTAAGTTGAGCTGAATTCTGCCTCCTTGTAAGCTTCTGCCTTCCACTGTTAACTTCTGGTTTTGTCTTATCTGTGAAATGAGAAGGTTGGGCAAGATTTCCAAGGACATTATCAGTCATAGCAAAAGTAATTTCATTCCCAACTACCCCACCACCCCAAGTTATACCTGTTCTTTGAGATCCAACTCTAATAATTCTGAGAAAGGATATTATATAAGTTTCCAAGTAAGGGAAAAACCTGGTTTTACTAGAGCATTTCAGGTGACAGAAGTGTGAACTACAGAGTGTTGATGGGGAAAAATATCTTAAGAAATTGTTTCTTTTTAATTGAAAAATTGTGTTTTTAAAGCTTCCCAAAGACTTTCTTTTTCTCTTTTTGTTCATAACGTTTAATTTTTTTCCACTTAAATTCAGTCAGGTGCATTATTTTAAGTATGCCAGTGAAGAACTGAAGATTTTGAAATGAATCAAAAATTTTATGGAACCCTGGCTAGTTTGGCTCAGCAGCTAGCACATAGGCCCAAAGACCAAAGTGTCTTGGGTTCAATTCCCAGTCAAGGGCACATATCCCGGTTGCAGGTTCGATCCCTCGTGCTGGTCAGGGTCATGTGGCAGGCAACCAATTAATGCGTCTCTCTCACTTGTATAGCTTGTCTGTCACATCGATGTTTCTCTCCCTCCTTTCCACTCTATCTAAAAAAATCAATGAAATATGTCCTCGGGTGAGGATTAACAAAAAGAAAAAATTATATGGATTATTTTCTACATTAAAAAGGGAAATATGGTCAGAGTGTGGTTTCTCCAAGAATGACAAAGGATTCTTATTTTCCTTCACAGGCATATTTTTTCTTGTGTATTCCCTACAGCAGCATCTTCACAGTCAGCTAAGCCAGAAACCTGGGAATTGTTCTGGGTGCATTGTATATCTTGTCTGTCAATATCCTAGCCCATCCTGTCTTGCACATTCCTGGGATTTAAGCATGGGCCTAGGCCTTCCTTAACTCCTTCCAGGACTTTGGCACCAGAGTCTTATAGTAGGTTTTTTTGCTTCTCAAGTCTTCTCCAATCCATTCTTCATACCTGTGCATGAGGTATCTCTCGAAAATGCTAATTGGATGGCAGCACCTCAAAACCTTTCAGTGGCCCTTTCTCAGCCTCTAGGTCAAAGTTCAAATTCATTGTCATGGCAAAGTGCTTTTCATTTCCTAGCCCTGCCCAATTCCCCATCCTACTTCCTAGTACCCCTCTCATCCCAACTGCCCCCCCCACACACACACACACATTTTACACTGGAGTGATGCAGCACTACAGTGACAGGGGCACAAATATTGTTTAATGCCTCTGTGTCTTTACACATACTATTTCTTCTTGAGTGCCCTCCCCTCTTTACTCACCTGACAAACTCTTCTTTATCTTTGAAAACCTCATTATAATCTTTACCTTTAATGTGGAGCCTCTCTAGGACATTGTACATGCCACCTTTCACCCCCAATGAGTTTACCACTTCCTCTAAGCTGCCTCTGTATCTTGTACATACTTTCAGTATTGAAATTATTCCATGACCACCCCCCCCACGTCCCAGTCTGTTAACTTATTCATACATCTGACCCCCTTACTATTGTTTTCTCATATAGAATCCGTGATCCATAATTCATTTGAAATTCTGATAGAAAATTTCCCTACAGTTACTACATGCAAGGATAACTGCTAGTAGGAATCTTTTAATGTCAAGTCATATCTGACCCCCACATGCAGCTTCTCCTACTAAGAAGTAGCACATGTGGACATCCACAGTTCTCAGCATGAATCCTCTGCTGCTCCACCAATGCTGGTCCCTTGACAAAGGCTTTGCATGCCTTATGCTCCCAAGGTATTTGTTTGCTTGAGCTTTTGTGTTTTTGTAAACAACTTTATTGAGATATAATTCACACACCATATAATTCACCCATTTAAAGTGTATAATTCAGTGGTTTTTTATTTGTTTATTTTTAAGTGATTTTTATTGATTTTTTTAGAGAGAGAGAAACATAGATCGGCTGCCTCCTGCATGCCCCCCACTGGAGATTGAGCCCACAATCCAGGCATGTGTCCCAACCAGGAATCAAACTGGGACTTCTCTGTCTATGGGATGAAACTCAATCCACTGAGCCACACCA